GGATCGCCGGAGCCCAGCAAGTCAAGGCTGCGGTGGCCGGGAGCGGCCACTGCACTTCAAACTGGGCGACCGAGTGAGACTCCAACTCAAATAAAAAAAAAAAAGTGAGCAAACGACATGAATAGACACTTCTCAAAAGTGTCAAAATACGGGCAGCCAACAGACACATGAAAAAGTGCTCAGCCTCACTTATCATCAGAGAAATGCAAATCAAAACCACATTGAGATACCGCCTAACCCCAGTAAGAATGGCCATCATTAATAAAACAAACAACAACAGATCCTGGTGAGGATGTGGGGAAATAGGAATGCTTCTACACTGCTGGTGGGAATGCAAACTAGTGCAACCTCTCTGGAAGAGTGTGGCGATTTCTGAAAGAATTAGAAATTGACCTTCCATATGACCCAGCAATTCCTCTATTGAAAATATACCCGGAGGAACTGTCAGGGGAGAGGGTGGGATTGGGAGTTGAGGGAAACTGCTAGATGAGGGAGGGTCACACTTCATCAACAAGTGTTCCTGTATAATCAACGTTTGTATAACTAATCCTGAATTGTACCCCACATCTTTATAATAAATAATAATAAAATAAAATAAAGAAAAAAATTGTAAGGGATGCATAAGGAGACATTACTTGGGGAAAGGTGCAAAACAGAAATTCTAGCTGAGCATGGTGGCTCACATCTGTAATCCCAGCACCTTGGGAGGCTGAGGCAGGAGGATTGCTTGAGCCCAGGAGTTCAAGACCACCCTGGACAACATAGCAAGGCTCTGTCTCTACAAAATTTTTTTTTTTTTTTTTTTTTTTTGCGTTGGAGTCTCTCTGTCACCCAGAATGGAGTGCAGTGGCCGCTCCCGGCTCTACAAAATTTTTTAAAAATTAAAAATTAAAAGAAATGAAAATAGAAATTTCCTATTTAGGGTATCCTCGTCGGGTTTGACTCCAAGCAAAGGACTTCAGTTAATTTGGAAGGCAGTTCCAGGAAACAGAAGTGAGGGAGTAGAGAGAGTGATGGAGGGAAGGAAAGAAAGCAATGAGGGGTGAGACGGTTCTAGCTGTGGGCAACTGGGGCTCACTTCCACAGAAGAGCTTTAGAGGAATATGTAAGATGTACTCACTGGGTGACAGGGAGCTACAGCATTTACTAACTGGCCCCCATCCTTACTGGTTATTCCATTCATCTGAAATGTCCAGAATAGGCAAATCTGTATATAGAAGAAGAAGATTCATGATTTAGGGCTAAGGGAGTGGGAAGATTGAGAGCTGGTAGCTGAAAGGCCTAGGCTTTCTTTTTGCAGTGATTAAAATTGATTGTGATGGTCGCACAATTCTGTGAATATGCTAAAAACCATGTGATTGTATACGTTACATTGGTTGTGTGGTATGTAAATTGTATTTCAATACAATTATTGCAAAACAGTCATCAAAAGCATGAAGGTTCTATACATGATTAGGTTTTCTCCAAAGTCTTGTGTTTTAGCTGTTATCATTACTATTAAAGCAAAACTTTACTATAGCACTGGTTTGGGAAAAAAAAAACACAAAAGCAACATACTTTGCCCATTCCACATGAGTTTCTGCCATATGCCTAAACCTGTTTGTCAGTAAATGGAATGATGCTTTCTTATGCCAGTACTTGTTCCTCTTCCCTCATGAGCTTTTTATGCTCTCTCATTCTTCTAAGGTAAAAGGGGATAGCTGGAAGCAGGACGCTGCCAATGGAAAGTACATTTAGGACATCTTCAGCTTTGCCTCCTCTAGGTCTACCTCAGCCTTATCTGATATAAACTGACTTGATGCTTAAATGAAGACTTAGAACACATCTCGTTTCTCAGTTGTATAGAACCCTTCATTTGGCTTACCTCCTGCTTTCCAGAATCCCTTCACAGGCTCTAAGTGATCTGGCTCTTGCTCACTTCTTTCCTCTAGTATTCCTTCCTGCTTCAGGGCCCTACTCAGCTGTTGGCATTTTCTGGACTGCCCTTCCTGCCACAAGGTAGCCAGTCAATACATATGTTAAATGAAGAGTGTATTTTAAAAACTTCCCTGGTGCTATGAATATGCTCCCCTGACCCTGGGTTGAAAACTTAATCCCCAAATTCATGTTGATGGTATTTGGAGGTAGGGACTTTATGAGGTAATTAGAATTAGATAAGGTCACCAAGGGGAGGGGGCCCATGATGGGACTGGTGGCTTTATAAGAAGAGGTCAAAAGACATGAGCTGGCAGGCTCTTGCCTTCTCACCATGTTGACACAGCAGGCAAGCCCTCACCAATTGCTGCTGTCATGCTCTTGGACTTCCCAGCCTGCAGAACTATAAGCTAAAAACTTTTTTTTATAAGTTGCCCAGTCTGTGGTATTCTGTTATAGCAACAGAAAACAAACTACAAAATACCTACATATAACATTTTTCCTAGAAATATATTAAATATACTGTAGTCAACTAAAGGTAAGGATTCTTAACTATGAATTTATGGAGTCAGTATATTTTACAAATTATATATGAGGGAATGTGCATTTTTCTGGAGAAAGTGTCCCAAAATCATCTGACACAAAAAAGGTTTGTACCTGAGTTAAGGGAATAATAAAGCTCAGAGAAAAGGGATATACAAAAGTAAGTGAGGGGCTGAAAGAACCATAGTGCATAATATAGAAGGAGATTGTAGCAGGTAAACTGCCCCCATCTCACCCTTGACGGTACTAAGGACATCGGGGATCACTATGCCTAAAATAAAAACTAATTAACTGCCTCCCTTACTCCCTGTGGGTCTCTCTACAATTGGGTTAGCTAGCAACACATGCTTTCCTCTACAGTAGGGCCCATGGTGATGGTTCTTAACATGGAAGGCAGGCTCCCTTGGCCTTTTTAAGACCACATATGCCAGTCCTCCAGCCTTCTTGTATCAGGGATATATTAGGGGAGTAAGTGAGTGAGGTTGAGAACTACTAATCTAAATGATGTACTCAAAAGAATCCATCTAAAAGTCCAGTCATGTTTTAGTAAACTGCTATGAGAATACAGAATGTCCAAATGGCAGTTTATCTACATAAACCAATAAAAACATCTGTTAGTGGCAATTTAACTTTAATACCTTTCCAAAAAATTCCTGGCTTACAAAATTAGTATGCATTGTGCATATGTTTACACAAATAAATATACACCACTCATTCTATCATCACAGGTTTCCAGGCTCCCAGATACACATTTAGTCAGACCTGGTGCTGGGGACTCCTGGTGCTTCCAGGAGTCCTCAGTCCTGCTGGGTGTGGCCATGCTCCACAAGAGCAGGGTCCACAGTGCTAGTATCTTGGGAAAGTTCCACAGGCCACAAGCAGCTTCTGTTTTCTCCACCTGCATAATGGAGATGCCATTTCTGTTGCGGCCCGAGTTCACATATCCAGGTGCTTGTAGAGTCTCCGACTTTTCTCTTTTTTATTTCTGTTGCCATGTTTTTTCCAGGGCTTCCCAGGCCCATTCTCAGAGCCCACAGCAGCAGCTGTCACCACGCCACTCCCAGGCTTATAACCCATCACAGCCTGGACACCTTTGGTCAAAGCTCTCACATTATCCTAGGAGATAAGATAAACAATCTAAGATGTCAACAGACTAGCCTTTAGGGGTAAGCACAGTACTGCTTGTGGACACTTCAAGATAAAGATGAGTAAATTTCCATCTCTTTTATTGGTCTTCTTTCTTTCCCCAGCATTCTTTTTTCAGTTCATCTCTTTTCCCTCCTTATTCCTTTATCACCTTTGTTTAGTCCCATAGCTTCAAATGCCTTCTATAACGAGACTCATAGCTGCTTTCTGGAAATTTCTCTCTTGATATCAAAACTCAACCTTCCTCACCCAAATTAGAAACTAACTCTAAACAAATTTTAAGTTTACTTAGCAAAAGAGAAAATTAATAAAATATTATGTTTGCAAGTACAAAGCAATAACCCATCATCTTTGTTTTGTTTTGTTTTTTTGAGAGATAGTGTCTTGCTTTGTCACCCAGCCTGGAGTGCAGTGGCACAATCACAGCTCATTATATCCTCAAGCACCTAGGGTCAAGTGATCCTCCTGCCTCAGCCTCTTGAATAACTGGGCCTACAGTCATATGCCACCATGCCCAGCTACTTTTTAGATTTTTTTTATAGAGATGAGGTCTCATTACATTGTCCTGGCTGATCTCATACTCCTAGGCTCAAGTGGTCCTCCCACCTCAGCCTACCAAAGTGTTAGGATTACAGGCATGAGCCACTACACCTGGCCTAACAACCCATCATCTTATAATAGTAAAATGTCATTCTAGAGGCTAGCATTTAGATACAGGAATTATAATTAACGATAAGTTTTCAGCTTTCATATATGGCCTTTAGAAACTTCTGTAAACACTAAAAATTAAAAGTAAATGTCCTGAGTAATAGTTGTAGGCCCAAGGAAGAACTTGTAATAGTTCTGCATACTGGTAAACTTTCTTCCAAATATTGGCCTAGATTTGGAAACAACTCAAACTAGAAGCCACAAATATCTAAGTTCTATCTCAGCTTTGCAATTTAAGACAAGTGTTCTTGGGTAACTCAGCCTTGTTGAGCCTCGATGTCCTCAATGGTAAAATGTGATAATATCTGCTTGGCCTGCCTCATAGGCACACACATAAACCGCCAGATGAATACAGAAACATCCTGTGGAGACAGCTAGCAGCCCCCTCCTTTTTTAGCTGTAGTAGGCACTTAAAAACATCTTTTTTTTTTTTTTTTAGTTGGAATTTCACTTCGTCACCCAGGCTCGAGTGCAGTGGCACATTCATGGCTACCATAGCCTCAACCTGCTGGTCTCAGGCAATCCTTCTGCCTCAGCCTTCCAAGTAGCTGTAACTACAGGCATGTGCCATCACACCTGGCTAATTTTTCCTGACTTAGTATAGAGATGAGGTCTCGTCCAGTTGCCCAGGCTGGTCTTGAACCTGTGGGCTCAGGCAATCCTCTCACCTCGGCCTTCCAAAGTACTGGGATTACAGGCATGAGCCATCGTGCCTGATCAAAAACATCTTAAAACTAAATATAGTTTATATGATTTAACTCTGCTGTACATATCTTTGTCTTTTAAAATGCTGCTTACAAACTGTAGCTATGATGTAAGCAACTAGTTATTAATATTTTAAAGTGTAGAAATATTTATAAAGTCTGTTTCGCTACCACTTTCTATCACCAGTTGTGTTAGCTTAGAGAAAATACAACTGACTAAATGAGTGCAAATATTTGCAAATCACAAATCTGATAAGGGATTTATATCCAGAATATATAAAGAACTCTTATTACTCAATAATAGACATTTCTCTAAAGAAAATACAAGTACAACAATGAGCACATGAAAAGATGTTCAATGTCATTAGTAATTTAGAGGCAATACAAATAAAAACTATAATGAGATACCACTTCACATACATTAGGATGGCTAAAATAAAAAGAAAATAAATGTTGACAAGAATGTGGAGAAATTGGAACCCTCATGTACTACTAATGGGATTGTAACATTGGGCAGCTGCTTTTGGGAAGTCTGGCAGTACCTCCAATGTTAAATGTGGAGTTATAATGTGACTCAGTAATCCTACTCCTAGGTATATACCCAAGAGAAGTGAACCCCCATGTCCACACAAAAACTTGTACACAAATGTTCATAGCAGCATTATTCATATTCAAAAAGTAGAAAAAATACAAATGTCCACCAACTGATAAACAAATAAGCAAAAGTGATATATCTATACAACGAAGTATTATTTGGTAATAAGAAGGAATAAAACACATGCTACAATGTGGATGAATTCTGAAGAGACTCTGCTAAATGAAAGAAACCAGTCAAAGTGCATGACTCCATTCATATGAGATGTCTACAACAGGCAAATCTACATGGAGGAAAGTTGAGTGTTGGCGAGGATTGAGGGGAGAGGGAAATGGGGTGACTGCCAAAGAGTATAGTTTCTTTTTTAGGGTGATTACAAAGTTATGTTATGCAAATAATACCCCAATAAAGCTGTGTTGGATCAGAAGTTAAGGGAAAAAACTTTAAAACTTACTTGATGGAAGAAAGCTTTGTCAACCACATTTTCAATCTGCTTTGCTTTTTTGTTTCCGCCTGGCTGCATTTTTATTTCATCATCATTCATTTTGCCTTCTAAGAGTCGCTGGTGTTGATGCTGAAAGGTCACAGGATCTCTTCCAGGAGGAGGATGGCAGTACAGCAGCTTACCCTACAAAGACAACATGAATGATAACAGTGCATTCTAAGTGCCATCTGTGTCCTCAGAGGAGACATCTTCAGCCAGTCACACTCTGATGGCGCTTTCTGCCTTTTGACTAAACTAGCTGAGTTGAGTTTTGTTCTACTGCAACGAAGAGTCCTTGCTCGAATACACCAATGATGAAAGTATTCTAGAGACCTAGCTCTTTCCACGGCCCCCAGGCTAGAGTGAAATCTCTTTCTTCTCCTTTTACCTTGCTTGCATTTCTACAAGACATTCTTCAGCACACTTTCATGATTAAGCTTTTGATGAATACTTTCCAAAACAAATCCAGGACACAATCAGACTGTTATGACCATACTAGTGGGCATACTGGGCTAGAATAATGAACTCAAGAGAGCTCCTAGATTCCTGTATGTGGGGTTGCAGATGCTCACTGGGCACAAATTTGACTCTTTCTGCCATAAGTGCTCTGCAGGCTGTGACTGTTTTTAACTCATCTTTGGATCCCCCACAGTTAAATGAATACATGATGTATCCATACCAACAGTGCCATTAGCCCCCATTTTAATGATGAGGAAAACCCAAAATAGAATGTTCTGATTTGTAATATGAGAACAAGGACCTCACAGACTTGTTATGTATTTTCACTAAGAAAACACATGTAAAACAGAACTACTCTAGCAGAGTTGGCTTTGAAGAAATGTTAGCTATTACTGTTCTACAGAAGTATAGAAAATAGACATATAAACAGATGTATTACAAGCAAGATTGTGATGGTAGTTGTAATCAAAACAAGCAAAGGGCTGTAGGAGATGGAAAAACCCAATGCAAAAACGGTAATTTTCACTCATAATAGGTGTTCAGAGATCTTTATCTGTTATGTCATCGGGTACTTCTGTAATTCACATGACCTTAACTAGCCTGGATCAAGAATATAATCCCGCTGCCAGGTGAGGTTTGAGATCAGCTACCCTTATTGATGAAGTGTGCCCGCCCCCTCCCCTGGCAGTGGGATTATACAATGACCATTTGTATACCTAAACCTGAATTGTAACCCACATCTTTAAAATAAAAAAATAATATAATCCCAGTTATAACAAAATTTCAATGAAACCAAATCTCCTTTATAACTTAACAGGTCATTATTACCTAGGCACATAGTATGTGGAAGAAGACCGTGTACTATTAAAGTTCACTTACACTGACATAATCCTTCAGGATATAGCGTGCCGATCGAGGCTGGTCTGGCTGTCCATGTGCTGTCATGAATCCTCGCATACCTGTCAAGAGAAATAAAGTTTGCAAAACTCAGAAGACAGAAGATCACAGCAAAGGCAACTGAGGTAATGTACATTTAGTTCTATGACCATATTACCTATGCATTCTTATTCTTTTTCAAAATTAGTTATCAATGTAGAATATATCTTGCTTAGCATTAAAAACCCTTGATAATTCAGAGAAATGTGAGTTGTATGAAAAAAAATAAAGACAGTTGATAATCCAAAACAGACTATATACTTAACATCTGATAGCCTAACAACTACACTATGAGAGACACATTCAATTTCTCTCTACTCCAGTTATTTCTTCCATTCTTTAATTTTTTTCTTTTTTCTTTTGAGTTGGAGTCTCACTCTAACTGTAGTGCAGTGGCACGCTCCCGGCCACCGCAGCCTCGACTTGCTGTGCTCTGACGATCCTTCCACCTCAGCCTTCCAAGTAGCTGGAACTACAGGCACGCGCTACCACACCTGGCTAATTTTTTGATTTTATTGTAGAGATGAGGTCTCGCCAAGTTTCCCAGGCAGGTCTGAAACCTGCGGGCTCAGGCAATCCACTCACTTCAGCCTCCCAAAACGCAGGATTACAGGCTGAGCCACTGAGCCCGGCTCATTCTTTCATTTTAAACATTTATTCATGAAGGCTACTGGAAGAGACTGCTACATCATCGCTATTATTTGCAAAACCAAAAGCAACAGAAGCAAGTTTTTTATTTAGTAATATACCAACATTTTCCCCAGTAAGATCCCTTTAATACTAACACAACTAGAAGAAGAGAAGCAGAGCACAGCAATTAAAACACAGGCATCAGCAGATACGTTGGGTTCCTTCTTCAAATACTAGCTGGGTTGGCTTTTCCAGTTAGAAGAAAATAGAATCCTAATTCACATCATATACTTAAATACATTTAGGCAGATTAAAAATATAAATGTTAGCCAGGCTCGGTGGCTCAGCCTGTAATCCCGCTCCTTTGGGAGGCTGAGGTGAGTGGATTGCCTGAGCCCGTGGGTTCGAGACCCACCTGGGCAGCGAGACCTCATCGCTACAATAAATCAAAAAATTAGCCGGGCATGGTAGCGCACGCCTGTAATTCCGGCTACTCGGAAGGCTATGGAGGAAGGGTCGCCGGAGCCGAGCAGGTCAAGGCTGCGGTGGCCGGGAGCGGCCACTGCATTCCAGTCTGGGCGATAGAGTGAGACTCCAACTCAAAAACAAAAACAACAACAACAACAACAACAACAAAATATATATATATAAATGTTAAAAAAACAAATATTATAGGAAGACAGTTTTATCTTTTGGGATAGGAAAGAACTTACTGAGTAAAACACCAAACCCAATCAAGCAAAAAAGGAAAAAAATCATCTATTAAAAATTCGAGACCCGCCTGGGCAGCAAGACCTCATCTCTACAATAAATCAAAAAATCAGCAGGGCGTGATAGCGCATGCCTGTAATTCCAGCTACATGAAGGCTGAGGCGGAAAGATCACTAGAGCCCAGCAGGTCGAGGCTGCGGTGGCCGGGAGCGCCACTGCACTCCAGTCTGGGTGACAGAGTGAGACTCCAACTCCAAAAAAAAAAAAAAAAATTTTCAACTTCTATAGGGCCAAAAACCATAAACAAACACTGGGAAAAAAAGTGTAGCACATAACCTGCAGATAGTGATCTTAGAAACCCTAAAAGTAGGGTCATCCGTCATTACAAAGTGGCCTTTTCCTTACTTTCATTTTATCAGGTAGCATTAGATGTAAAATCTTAAAACCTACATCATTTTCAGTTTTACCTGGAAATCAAATAAAATTGAGTTTGGTGAAGTCTAAATGAGAATTTTTCAAGTTAGTCTCACCCAGGCTATGCCACTGACCAGCCTTGGGCAAATCTCATGTTTTGAGTTCAAATTAATTGTCTTAAAGAGTGGGGCAAGGAGGTGGGGTCATCTTCAAGGTCTTTTCTTGTTCTATAATTCTGAAATCATAGTAATTTTATTGTGTTCAAAGTCTCTACGATAAGCTCAAGGTTTAATTTAAGTGTGGTTCATATTAAATCATCTTCTCTGCCAGTATATACTCAGATAACCTGAACTCCCTCCCAGCCAGTGGCAACCCCTTTAAAGAAAAGCCACACATGCACAGAAATGTTTCAACATTGCTGTTTCTTTAGGGAGACACAGCTTCTCCAGGTCACCTTTAAAGTTTATATTTATTTATTTATTATTCTTTTTTTTTTTTTTTGAGTTGGAGTTTCACTCTGTCGCACAGGCTGGCGTGCAGTAGCATGCTCACAGCTACCCAGTGTCGACCTGCTGGGCTCTGGCAATCCTTCCGTCTCAGCCTTCCAAGTAGCCGGAACTACAGGCGCACACTACCACACCCGGCTAATTTTTTATTTTTATTTATTTATTTTTCTTGTTTTTTTTGAGTTGGAGTCTCACTCTGTCGCCCAGACTGGAGGGCAGTGGCACGCTCCCGGCCACCGCAGCCTCGACCCGCTGGGCTCTGGCAATCCTTCTGCCTCAGCCTTCCAAGTAGCTGGAATTACAGGTGTGCACTACCACGCCAGGCTAATTTTTGATTTATTGTATAGATGAGGTCTCGCCAAGTTGCCCAGGTGGGTCTCGAATCCGTGGGCTCAGACAATCCACTCACCTTGGCCTCCCAAAGCGCTGAGATTACAGGCTTAGCTACCAAGCCCAGCCTAATTTTTTTTTTGAGTTGGAGTCTCACTCTGTCGCCCAGACTGTAGTGCAGTGGCCGCTTCTGGCCACCGCAGCCTCAACCTGCTGGGCTCCGGCAATCCTTCCGCCTCAGCCTTCCAGGTAGCTGGAATTACAGGCATGCACTACCATGCCCAGCTGATTTTTTGATTTGTTATAGAGATGAGGTCTCACTGCCCAGGCGGGTCTCGAACCCGTGGGCTCAGGCAATTCACTCACCTCAGCCTCCCAAAGGCGCAGGATTACAGGCTGAGCCACCGAGCCCGGCTAATTTTTTATTTATTGTAGAGATGAGGTCTTGCCAAGTTGCCCGGACTGGTCTCGAACTCACGGGCTCAGACAATTCACTAGCCTCAACCTTCTTAAAATGCTGGGATTATAGGCAGAGCCACTGAGCCTGGCCTAAAAGTTTACATTTAAAATAAGCAATGACAGGCTCCCATGTGGAACTGAGGTGAAACATGGAGGTGGGAGAGCTATGGACTCATTTTAATGTCAAATAAGGTTTACAAGGGCTGATGGAAAGAGAAGGGGGATGCTTCGTGGCCCTATCCTCCCCGAACTCAGCTTAGTCCTGTCTGAGGGCTTTCTTTTCTGAAGCTCCCCTCATAACTCCTACCCTCTATGATGAGCATATTCATTTTATTCCATACATCTCTTTTCTTGTGTTTGGCAGAAGAGTTCAGAAAAAAGTCAACAAAGCCTCAGATCAGAACCCCTGTGCCTGTGCCTAGGTATCATCAAAGCAGCACATGTTCCAAAGGCTTTTTCTTTAGGCTACTTGGTAGGCAAGGCCAGAGGAGACAATGAAAATATCAACCCTGAAAGATGACGTGTAAAATGCTAAAGAAATAGTCTAAATTTGTAGCTTTGTAGAACAGTTTTTCTTTCTATTAAACTATGCTCATTTCTACTAATTAACTACATATTTTTTGTTCACGTTTTAAAATAAGTCACAACTCACATCCATAAGCCGTCAGCAGCTCTTCTGATGTTGGAGGGCGATGGGGATCTTCACCCTCTCCAGGCTTTATAATATTAATGCCACAGGTAGCTTCTAAAACATGTCTTGGAATATTCTGGCAAACGTAGGCTTGTCAAGGAATCCATTCTTTTGAACTGACCCTCTGAACGTGCTTCTAAGAACATAGCATTTCACCACTTCTGTGATACCCTTTCTCTTCTCCAAAGGACGTGTGCAATTATTTACTAATTTGAAGAGACTTAGATGTTTTCATCCATTTAAACAAAGTCTTATGCACCAATGATCACTTATAAATGAATTCTTTAAAAATCAGAATTATTAAATGAAGCAGAACTTAAAAGATAACACATCTTTACCCTGAAAGGGAAGATTCTAAATAAAATTTGTGAGATGATTCTAATTCAGAGCTTTGTTTCGCTCTTTTTTTTTTTTTTTTTTGAGACAGTGTCTCAAAAAAATTACAGGCTTGAGCAGTGGTGCAATTCCAGCTCACCGCAGCCTCAACCTCCTGGGGTCAAGAGATCTTCCTGCCTCAGCCTCCCAGGTAGCTGGGACTACAGGTGTGCACCACCACAACCAGCTAATTTTTGTATTTTTTGTAGAGATGAACTTTCACTATGTTGCCCAGGCTGATCTCAAACTCCTAGGCTCAAGCAATCCTCCCACCTCAGCTTCCCAAAGTGCTGGGATTAGACATGAGCGACCATGTCCAGCCTCAGAGCCTTCATTTTTAGTCTACAATTATGCAAGATTTCCCTCGTCTAACCTCCCACAGTGTTACCTGTACTTTCCTTAAGCCATTAACAATATTCTACTCTGTACCACAGTTATGCATGTACATGCCTCATATCCTCACAGACTGATGCTCTTTAAGAGGTAGGATCCCAGCCGGGCGTGGTAGCCCATGCCTGTAATTCCGGCTACTTGGAAGGCTGAGGCAGAAGGATCACCGGAGCCCAGCAGGTCAAGGCTGCGGTGGCCGGGAGCGGCCACTGCACTCCAGTCTGGGCGACAGAGTGAGACTCCAAATAAAAAAAAAAGAGGTAGGATCCACCTCTGATTTATGGTTTGTCCTCCAGCCCCTAACCTAATATGCCTTGCAGTAAAGCTTAATATATGTCTGATTATTAATTTATAGAGAAACTTAAAAAATACAGAAAGGTGTAACATCCATGTTCCCAGCTACTGAGATTAGTAACAATGTTTCACTCTCCAAATTTAAGCCTTTAAAGTATTATACTATATACTATTACATATATGGAGCACCAGAAGTATAGACTTTTTTTTTTAGTTGGAGTCTTATTCTGTCATCCAGGCTGGAGTGCAGTGGCATATTCACGGCCACTGCAGCCTCAACCTGCTGGGCTCAGGTGAGCTTCTAAAAATACATTCCTTTAACATAGGCTAATTTTTTATTTATTATAGAGACAAGGTCTCACCAAGTTGCCCAAGCTGGCTTCGAAGCCCTGGGCTCAGGCAATCTTCTTGCCTCGGCCTCCCAAAATGCTGGGATTATAGACTTGACCCACGGCGCCTGGCCTTTTTTTTTTTTTTTTAGT